TTCGAGCGCTGTTCTGGAACTGTTCCTGAACTTACGGATCAGTATGAACCCAGCCTTAAGTGGAATAGTACCAAAACTTGGCTTATCGAGATCTGCATGATGTATTTCGTGACCATTATGTCGGATGACCCACCATAATCCATGTTCCCGAGATGTAGGCGGGTACAATTGAATAGTGCCATTTCATGCACAGTAATACTAAGCATTCGGTTAGGACCCTGATGCTCATGTTGACGAAGGAGCCAATGCAGCGCCGCCGGCTGACGATGTCGCTGCCGGTGAAGGGGTAGCCAAAGAAGATACAGAACCTGCGAAAGGTAAAGAAAAAGAAGAGAATCAACTCGGGGCAATGGTTGAAGATGCGAAAGGCAATGTGTTACCTCCTCCTCCCAATAAGGTAATCTCAAACATTGGTGTGAGAAGATGATTTTCTGTCAAAGTAGGAAGTGCGTATTTTGTTTTCAGATTGAGACAAAAATCGATTTTGATCAGTCAGAAGATTCACACTTTATGATATTCTTCGTCATCGCAGGGGTAGTGGTGTTCTGCCTCTACCTTATACATCACAACAAGAAGAAAATATTGGGTAAGAGTTCAATGACTGGTTTCATGCAACTATCACCCATTCACATCTACAAATAATTGTTTCAGGCCTGATGTTCGAAGGGCGATCTGGACGCACACGGCGAAATGTTCGCTATAGAAGGTTATCACAACGGGATGATGCCAAAGAGGACGTTATCTATTGAGTTGTACATTTTGTTCTTCTGTTTTCAGTTTTTACAAATTTTTCTGTTCTTCTATGTTATGTTGTCTTCCTGAACACTCCACATTCAACTCGAACTTATCATCCATGCTTTATCTCGTTTTAGTTGTGGGCGTATGTATCTTTGTCACTTAAAGCTTGTTCTCAAAAACTTAAGTATTACAGTTATTACGGTTCGTTAACACCAGTTTCCAAGAAAATGTGTACATTATTCTTCCGTGAACATTATGTGCCTTCAGAAGCGAATCACTGTGATGGTAAGTCTGAAGATTGAATTGTAAATGTGTGCAATAATAAAGATGGTACGGTGTTTTTTGTTATCGCTTCTTATCTCTTTACTGTCAGATGAGGTCATAGGCTCATTAGCCGCTTGCTGTACCTCTGTCTCACCTGGAATGTGTCCGAACTGAGCGGCTTATGTTCCTCAAAGCCGCGTGGCGTGCTACCGCCGTGTTTGCTAACATTTCAGCTAGATTTTCCCACGCCTGAGTGTAAGTTTTCCGAGGCGAGCTCTAATTAATGAGGCGTGGGAAAATGATCAAACGTTTTCGCGCACGCGTCGCTGGGCGTAGC